GACGTGATCTAATCACTAGCACACCCTGAGCACATGCGAGTTAACCTATTCCGGCATATTTTTTCATATCGGGCCGATGCCGATATTTACATTTAAAGCCATTATCAGCCAATTCCGATATCAGTCCGATAATATCGTGCATCCCTAATAGATAATCAATATAAGAGGATTAAAAGCTGAAATGGGAGGTATAGCATTTTATAAACCTTATTGTTTTTATGAAAACCTTTATTTGAACTGTAAAGTTGACTTTTTCCGTGTTTTAAGTGCTATAATCGGGTCCCTGGTGCATCTACCAACATAGTGTATATATATTTTTTTGGTAAGCCTTTCTCTGCAAGCTTGTGAAAAACAATAAAAAAAATAAATAAAAATGTCGCTCCCCTTGTGATGTAGAAAGGGGATCTTATTATAATATTACCGCCCCTTAATCTGCAAGTTTCCACCCACGGTCCCATCATTGTGTTTTCGCAAGCGACAACGGTGTACCAGTTCTAACACCATTGTGAAAGTTCAAGCAAAGCATGCTAACTCCTCTGTCTTTGGCTGCACAGACGAGAGTCCCAGCCTCAGAGGAGACAAGAGAGCAGTGGGTTTATTGATTTATTTACTCTATATTATGCTGCCGCCACACAGATCTTATATGAACATGTGATTTCTTTCCCAGCTGTTTACCTTCTCGGACATAACCGACTGTTTTTGTAACTCGCGTGTGTTTCTAACATAAACTTGTGAGTATTTGACAGTTTAAGCGCAATAAGACACGAAAGAGAACCTAGTTTAGTACTCGCATACCTGTGGCAGCCGCTGTCTGTGCGCGTTCTTCGGAAAACCCTATATCAGAAGTTTAAACGAATATGGTTTAAAACGCATGATTTCAGCGAGATAGACATGATAATCAAAACCAAACAGATGTTATTTGCCGGAATATCTGAGGTACGAGCTGTAAAGGCACCGCCCTATTCTGGAAAAGGGGTTGAGGAACAGCAGCTCATTTGCGTTTTAAGAGACATGCACAAAAACAGCCTGTTTAAATGGTTTGTGCGGAATTTTAAGCTGAAACCTCATAGACACCTGATACTTATATTAAAAGTGCATAATTGGTCTCCTTTAAATTGTTTTTTACAATCATTTTACTGTTTAATAGGTTACCATGGACATTTCCCTTTTCTCTAGTATGATAATTTTATTTGAATAGGTCTTAAAAAGCCATATATTAAATTTTTTTAAATCCTGTGGATACCCTGGACTGGTTTATTCATCCAGATTTTCCCAAATTGTTTGACATTCCACATTATACATTGAATTCCACTTTTATGACTGGATTCCCCAACTCTGTCCACAGTTTCCACGTCGTTGAAGTCTATGTAATAAGTACTTTAGGATTGTAAGATGTGAATCGGACAATGTTTTCGAATGACAAGTAATTAATTTTAAATACTCACATCAGTTAGTTTTTTTTTGCAATTAATAAAGGTATTCTTAAAAAGAACAAATATAATTGGTTATTGTTTATCTAGCACACCATACATTGT